TCCAATGACGAAGAGCGTTCATGCATTCTGGTGAGACACGCACTCTGCGGCTGAGACGGCTCTTGGGGCGAATGCCCTGTGACGCTGTCCAGATCTGAAAATCCCTCATTCGCAGCAGTCCCAGGGGAACCACTGACACTGTAGAGGCCATCAGACCCAGTAGCCGAAGACACATTCTGAAAGAGACTGATCTCCCTCGATGAAAAAGGGAGAGGCAGCTGTGAAATGTCTTGATGCGATCCTCTGACAGGAAAGCTCGAAACATCACTGAATTCAACCTGAGACCCAAGTAGACTATTTCCTGTGCAGGAGTTAGACGACTCTTCGTCTGGTTTATCTTGAAACCTAATCTCTCCAGATGCGTCACTAGTGTGTACGTATCGCTCTCTGCTTGCCACGGGGACGGCACACAGATGAGCAGATCGTCCAGATATGATGAAACTCTGACCCCTCCGTTCCTTAACGGCGTCAGAGCCGCTTCCACAAATTTGCTGAAAACCCTGGGAGCCAAAGCAAGGCCAAATGGTATTTACCTGTGAGCAGGAAAAATATCTCTGTGAAAATATGCCTCCTGGAGGTCCACCGAGGTGAACCAATCTCCCTGACGAATACTCTGACACAACATTCTGAGCGACAGCATTTTGAATTAGTATTTTCTGAGGTGTTTGTTGAGGACCCGTAAATCCAAAATGGGACAGAGACCTCCCCCTCTTTTGGGAATCACAAAATACAGGGAGTAAAAACCTATGTGGCTTTCTCTCGTTGGAATCACTCTTATCACTCCTTTTCTCATTAAAGAGGATATTTCTTCCTCTAAGACCTGAGCTGCTTCCCCTTGGGCCACTGAAATTACCACTCCATTGAACACAGGAGGTTTTACAGCGAATTGAAGTCTGTATCCCCTGTCTATCGTGGTTAAAACCCAGGGATGAACTGCGCATGCACGCCAGTTCGTTGCCTGAGCTGCGAGTGGGCCCTTCCCGTCTTTGCTCACTAGCGGTGTTGCAGCACACTCTAGTGGCGAAGGAGGGGAATACCGCTCCAGTGAAGGAGTTAGATTAATCTTTATTTGTGATTGTTTTAATTTTTTGTGATATTTCTTTATTTTTATCCCACTCTGCGCCCTCAGCCCTTGGCCTGGATGCGTCAGAGAAAACTTTTTTTGTGATGGGATGCTTATGAACTTTTGTCCTTCCTCCCTCACAACAAACCTCGTAGGTGGAGGGAGAGACAATTTTTTGGGGGGCACCAGAGGAACATGGGCCATTTCCCCACACACATTGGACTTTGAACTGACCACACAAGCCCATTTCATATTTAAATTCCTTCTCCTTTTCCCTGCGTGATGGAGAATGGAATCGTTCTGAAGGGATGGGACAGAGAAACCCTGAGTGCTGTCTCCAAACCCTTCCTGATGCCAAGTTGACGTCTCAGGTCTACCGCCTCTTTTTGTTTCCCTGAGGGGTTGCCGACCGGTGTTTCGCTGCTTCGTTTTGGTTTCATGAAACCGGGCTTTGACTGAGGGCCCGCGTTTCCCGGCTGTTGCGGTGGAGCCGGACGGGAAGTTTGATAGTCAGAATGTCTCCATCTCCCTGAATGTCTGAAGTTCGGTCGGCTTGGGTGATAAGGCCGAGCTGCCGGCGAATGCCTCTTCCTCTTTTTTCCGCAGGTCACATTGCTGACGCATCGTTGTTACCGTCGCGCCGAACATGGCCTTTGGATCAACAGGGGCATCCAAAAACTCCACCTTCTCTTTGTCAGAGAGGCCTGACAAACCCAGCCATAGTGATCTCTCTCCCACAACCGCTAAGCCCATACACTGACCGCAGCTTAGAACGTGCACAGGTTTAAATCTGTGATGAAACTTATCTCCTCCCAGAGTGCTGGGTTGGGAGATCCGGAGTCCAGCTGATGCCCCATCTCCTCAAATATCTCCCCTTGATAGGCAGTAAGGAGGGACGTCGCGTTCAAAGCATGAATGGCCAGAGCAGATCATTTATAGGCAGCGAAGCGCTCTGTTTTCCCTGGCAGCGAGGCTCTGGTTGAAGAGAGCACTGCCCTGCGACTTGGGTGCAAATGATTAGCCACAGATGATTCAACAGGGGGAGGATCCGCCATCCCCAAATCCTCCATTCCCTGAACATCCAGCCTCGAGAAGCCCTTGTCGGGCACACGGTGGGAAAAAGGCTTGTCTCAAAACCTCTTCATTTCAGCCACACAAGCCAGGACAGCTGAAATAAACTGCCTCGCTGGAGGGAGACGTGACGGAAGTCTCTTTCCATCATACAAATCTCTTTCAGCCCCCTGACCTGCTGGCTGGGATGGCCAGTCGATTGACAGTCTAGCCGCGGCCCTGCGACAGACCTCGAGTAGATCCGTGTCCGTCTGTACAGGGGAGGGTGAACTCACATCCTGTGCACTCGGCGGATGCGACTGATTTGGGGGAAGAATAGCATCTTCATCATCGTCATCCTCGTCCTCGAGGATGGCCGACAATACTTCATCCTCGTCATCTTCCTCTCCCGCTAACGGATCTTCGAACAGCGGGGGAAGGACGGGTGACACCCTCTCCATCATCTCTCCCCATGAGCTGACGGCCTGCGGACAATCCATCGGTTCCTCTCTGGGTTGAGCAGAGAGGCATGGATCCGACTTCCCAGCTACTGCCACGCGGAGTCTCCGCTCTCGGGTTTTAGCCGAGGACTTCGTGCAGTGAGGACAGCCCTCGGGGTTGGACAGAGCTGCCTGAGCATGTTTAGCGTCCAAACAGGAGATGCAGAGACCGTGTGAATCCTTCGCAGAAATCTACATTCCACAAGCACACGGATGGGGAGGAAGACCTTTGTCTCCGAGGCTCTCCGGCTCTTTCGCAGTGGCCATGGGGCCTGCATTCTCTTCGTTCGGTAAGCCCACCACAACGTGACAACCAGTACGGAGCTGTGTTGCGATAGAGAGCTCTCCTTTTCCTTCTTTTTGGTGTGTGGTGAGCGCCCCCGAAAACTTGAAAAATAAATTGAAAACATAGAGCAGAAAACTCGCCCTGACGCGTTTTCTCAGTTATCTCACTCGGTAAGTGAAGTCACTCATTACCTTGCGGCTCCATCTGTAAACTGTTAAGCAAATAATTCCAGAAGTCTGCTGAGCCAGCTTCCGAAAATCTTCACGGGGAAGAGAGTGAGAATGACGAAACGGCAGGTAGCTGCGGTTTATATACAGGGAGGCGGGACTCCCTGATCGCTACAGAAATTGGTCTGCCATAGTTGGCAGACGTGGTGTTATTGGTTCTTCCGCGATCGGTCATGCCTGAGGCATTCCTATAGTGAGATAACGAACGAATGCTAGAAAGAGAACTATAGAGCTTATATTATGACAAAACTATTTGAATTTGTATTGTATAAATTTGAATTATTGACAAGTGGCATTTATCAAAACTGAATATTATGTGGCATTTAACATAGTTCTGAATTAGATTTTTTTAACTTGAATATTGAACATATTCAAGTTAAATATGTTAGTTAGTTTTGTCATATTATAAGCTCCATAAAAATCCTTTACCTAATTTGGTGTTCTCGGTCAAGAAATTGCTTGTAAATCTCTCATTATGCTGTATTATCACTAAATCTTGGATTCAGTCTTTTTATCAACTTGTTTTCGTTCAGTGAGCAAGGTTTTGTTTTTCTTTTTGGAGCTGATTAATCATAGACCTTATTGATATGAGCTTGTGCAACCTCAATTTTTGACAGAGAAAGCATTATTTGTGGATAATTTGGGCTCAAAATCTGTGATGTATAAGTTTAGATCAATGAGGCCTACAATCAATCAACTCCAAAAAAAGAAATACAAAACCTGTGCTAATAATAAAAACAAAACAAAAAAACAAGCTGATACAAAGATCCAGTATTTGGTTATAATATATCATAATGAGTGATTTACAATACATTTTTGTAGGCCGGTAATTTTTGAACAGGAACACCACAAGTGTATCAAGGTGGGAGAAAAAAAAGTACAACAATTATATATTTTTTTTTCTTTTTAAGTTGTTATACCAAAGTCTGTAAGTTTTAGTCCAATGTGGTAACATTAACTAGCATTTCTGGGAAAAAGAAAATCCTCTGGGTCAAAATGACAGAAACACAGGGTTAAATGTCCTTCTGAAAACTTTGCTTTCAATCAAAATACATATTTCACAAAACAATACTTTTACTCAGTTGATCGTCATTAGTAGTAATAACATGTATATTGGATGCTCTTTCAGTAAAATGTCAAACTGGTTACTGAATGTCCCCTGACCTTTCACAAGGTCCAGTTTTTTGAATGTTTAAAAAGTTTTTTTTTTTCTTGGTTATGTGAATGTTAGAGAAAACATTAAAGGAATGTTCAATTTTAACATGTTGCAAACATAGTGGGAACGTTACTTTTGAATGTTTTCTGAACCATCTGAAATAAGTAGTTCAAAAAAACTTTAGATGAATGTCCAACTAAAACGTTCCATAAATGTAAAAAATTAATTAAAAATATATATATTTATGTTTTTGTTCTTACGTTTTGAGAATGTTGAACGTTGAAGGAACATTCTATTAATGTTACTGGAAGAATGTTTGTTCTTAACTTTGAGAGAACCTTTCCAGTGATTCTCGGGTGTTTTACTGTCAGCAAAGAATAGGTATGTGAATATGAGTCTAAATGTTTCTACTGCAATATTCATTATGGTGTCTGAATACCAAGAAGTACATTAAAAACATAATGTACTCGCCAGAAGACAGTAGTTTAATGTTCAAATGTGTCTCATATAGACTTTAATTATACGTCTACAAGTACACAGATGCACTGACACATAAATAATGGAATTACAGATGCTTTCAATTTACACTTACACAACTTTATTATGCATTATGAATTCAAAATCTTTCACTTACGGTCAGTGTGAGCGCCGCTGCTGTGCTGCGTTTGGCCGGTAGAGGTCGCTACCGTGTGACAAGATGATGATGACACGCTTCCGCTTCAAAACAAGCGTCACTTCCTGCTAAAGTTCAACGCGGGTTCTACGCAGAGAGTTTGAGATGACCAGAATAAATTCATTAGTTCGCCATTAATAACTCTATTAGCCACACATTCACTTGTTATTGTAGTGAAGCTTTGCAACGATGGGAGACGATCCGGACTCTGTTCCAGAGAGAGAGATGAAGGTGAGACCCTTACCGGTTAGCATGACTCTTATTATTATTATTATTATTATTATTATTATTATTATTAGAGCAATAGTGTTCTGTGGCAGATAAAGGTGACGTATGTTTATGGTGTGTGAGTTACTGTGGCTCGTGCGTTTTGAGTCTAGTTTCTAATTATTATGGTTTGATGTTGTTTCAATTTTGTAAACTAGATCTAGTCATAATTAAATGATTACATATGCACACGAACTAAGAACATAAACGCATGCTGGAGGTTATGAAGTGTCATATGTGTCTGTCCATTCCTTCATACGTAACGAACTGACAGCTTGATGGAGCCAGATGCAGTTTCCCATCAGATTCTCTGCATTATTTATTAATGTCTGGGATTTGAATCAAAGTGAACTTCCTTTTAATGTCAGTCATGCTGTGAAATGAAAGTGAAAGCTGTGAGTTTGTTTGACACACACCTGAATCGGGAGTATTGACAGGCTGCTTGTTCTTCTGTTGCCTGTTTTCAGTGTCACGTGTTGTGACGTCATTCCCATCCACACGTGTGTTTGTGTTATTCAGGGTTTCTGTGGTTCTTAAAGGGGTCATATGGTGCGATTTCAAGTTTTCCTTTCTCTTTGGAGTGTTACAAGCTCTTGGTGCATAAAGAAGATCTGTAAAGTTGCAAAGACTAAAGTCTCAAATCCAAAGAGATATTCTTTATAAAAGTTAAGAGTCAGCCACACCTACCTAAAACGGCTTGTTCTAACACGCCCCCACATGTCTACGTCACGATGTGCGAAGATTTGCATGGTGTTCGGGCCAATCACAATGCACTGGGTCAGTTGGCCAATCAGAGCAGACTGCGCTTGTCGGAAGGAGGGGGCTTTGTTGAAAACGACGCGTTTGAGAAAGGCGGGGCATAGAGGACCTACAATAATGTACAGTATTTGATAAATAATGTGTTTTTTGAACATTAAAGCATGTCAACATATTCTGTTACACCAAATACACAAAATAATGATCTTTAAAATAGCATCATATGACCCCTTTAAAAAGTCTCAGTTTGCCTTTCCGCAAATTAAAAGCTAAAAAGGTCTTACATCGGAGCAGAAAGTCTTCATAAAGTCATGGCATTAAATGTTGCACACGCTGCAAAAAAAAAACAGATTCTTCCTCAGTATTTGTCTCGTTTTCCAATACAAATATTGAAACCTCTTTAAATCAAGATATATTTACTTGAGATGCAAAACTAAGATATGAAGTCTTGTTTTCTGAAAAACTGAACTAAATTGTAAAAAGGTTTATGCTTAAAAACAAGATCAAACTGATCTGTTGATGGGGTATGAAAACTTGTTTCCCCTTTGAATTAAGTTTGATTTTAAGTTGAGTTTGGCAGATAGGCCTATTTGTTCTCGTTTTAAGCATAAACTCACTTTCTTTTGATCAATTTCTCATAAAACAAGAAGTAAATGTATCTTGATTTAAGATTCTTTAAAGATTTGCGCTGGAAAACAAGACAAAAATACTGAGGAAGAGCATCAGTTTTTTGCAGTTTGATCACAAGGTACAGTAAAATTATTTCCATGTTGGTTTGGAGAAGAGAATTTATTTTTTTTGTAAAATTATTTAAAAAGAAACGGAGATTGATTGGAAGATGTATTTTAAATTTCGACGCGTTGCTAATACGAGACATTTACATTTAGTGAACGTATTGACGTATTGCATTCCCTTCCAATTTTCTTTACTTGGTCTCATAAACCCTGCGGAAAGCCTGATGTTTCACAGCAGTAATAAGCACTGACATACAGATGTGCTCTTCTGTGCTTCTCAGGACTTCCAATTCCGTCAGATGAAGAAGATCCGCGTGTTCGAGTCTTCTGCGGATCTTCCCAAGGAGCGCTCCAGTCTCCTCACCATCTCCAACAAATATGGCCTGACGTTCGCTGGCAGAGACAGGACGCTGAAAGTGTTCTGGACGAGAGACGTGATCGCAGCCGGCCATCTGGAGGGAAACCCCAATGACACGGGTAAGAACGCATGAACCCTGTGCTGCTGTGCTGTGACTGCGCTCAGGCTCACGTGTGTGTCGTGTGTGTGTCTCATCAGTGGAGTGCTCCTGCGTGGTCACAGTGGCTGTCGGCGTGGCGATGCATCACATGGCTCTGAGCAGCGACGAGCTGACGCTGTCTGTGTGCAGGACGGGGGACGCTGCCGAGCTCACACTGGACTTCTACGACGTCCGCACCTTCCTCAACAAGGTCATTCAGCTCTCCTAAAAATATTTCAGCTGGGCTTTCATTTGTTTCCTCCTGATACTGTTAATGTTGCCCGTGAATAAAGCCATTGTTGCTGATATGGCATTAAAACATAAATAAGCAGCTTTACAGAAATAAACACAAAAATAACAGTGATGCAAACTTAAAGTAGTATACTACTGCTACTACTATTTTACTACTATTAGAAACAGTTAAAAGGTCTTAAAGGGGTCATATGATGCTTTTTTAAAGATCATTATTTTGTGTATTTGGTGTAACAGAATATGTTGACATGCTTTAATGTTCAAAAAACACATTCTTTTTCAAATACTGTACATTATTGTAGGTCCTCTATGCCCCGCGAAAAAAATGACACAAAGTTTAAATAAAGTAAAATTCAGCAAACAATGTAGAACCAATTAAATAAGAAACTAATGTTTTAAAAAAACGTCTAAAATCACCTGAGATAAATGGCAAAAGTCAACAGGCTTTTCAAAATCCAAAATATTGCCAAACAGGCGCTTTTGCATCTCGTTTCGTGGGCAAGTGACATACCCGGTGTTGCGGCTTAACACCGGTATCACCGTCAGCACCGTCTATCGCGGCAAGCCTAATTAAATGCTAGTGAAGTGTCTACTTTTCAAATAACTTTTGTGAAAATGTAAAACGTCAAAATATGGGTAAAATAATGTTCCATCATTCAGCGTAACAGATATATTTATGTAAAAATGTAATGACACACTTATTCTGATCTGTACTTATTAGAATATATGAAAGAGATCATACTCAATTTTATTATATTTGAATTGATGAAAATGTCTTCCTGACAAACGGGTAAAACCTAGTGGTTTGAAGGATAGTGACAAAGATTTAAAATTACAATTAATTAGTTTTTATGGGCTGCACTGTGATCCTTAAATAGTCTTTTAATGTCATCTAATGATTCTTGTTTTGAATATGCCTGACAAGATTTTTTGGTGTATGAACTACTATTGTTACACTGAATGACGTTTTAGTGGGTGTCTTCAGTAAATCATGGTATTTCAGTGGATTGTACTGTTGTTTAATAATTTACCTGATTGTTCAGCTGATAAAGCATCTTCCTGAAAAGACTTTCAGTAGACAAAAATTTGTGAGTTGTGAAAATTAGAGGATTTTGAACCTTTATACAGCACATACCAATGTAAAAAGTCTTAATTATGTGTTAATTTCAAACCTGCAGGCATCTAGTAGTTAAACCTTGGTGTTACATATGATTTTCTTTTTCTCCCTCCAGATGGCATTAATCTGCCTTTCATCCACTGGATTTCAAATACCTTTGCTTAAACACTGCATTAATCTGAAATGACATTTTTCTTCTAATATTTGTATTAATTTATATAGAAATAAATTATGCATCATTTAGAGGTGATTATTGTCTAGTACAATGAAATCCCCTCAAAATACAAAATGTTAAAGAATAAATTTGATTGAAACAAAATGTAGTACATTTATGAAAAAACAAAATGTTACGCTTATTGTCTTCAGTCTGTTTTGAGGATCAAGAGTGTGGTGAAGACCAGAGTGTTAATGTGTGTGTGTGTGTGTGTGTGTTTGCTCCAGCAGGACAGACAGGAGAAGCGTCCCTTCACCTCTTTCAGACCCATGGCCGCTGCAGACACGCTGGTCCAGGATCTGAAGTGGAGTCCGGTGGACGCGTCCCGTCTGGCCGTGTGTCTGTCCGACGGCAGTATGATGGTGCTGGACGTTCAGGACTCCGTCAGTGTAGTCGCTCAACTTCCTGCCTCTGCGGGAATCACATGCGGTCAGTGGTTACTGTGTGCTCTCTTTAGTCTCACAGTGCTAGTTCTCAGTTCTCAGTCTCTAGATATCTCAAGCACTAGTTATTCAGTATCTTTGATCTTATTTTTAAGCTGGTTGATTCGTTCCTCTCTCTGTCTTTGTAGTTTGCTGGAGTCCCAAAGGGAAGCAGGTGTCTGCTGGGAAAGAGGACGCCACAGTGGTTCAGTTCACTCCTGTAAGTCTGTGCATGACTGTTTATGACAGACAGATCTTCACTTGACCAAGAATGAGAACTAAATTACTAGAGCCCGACCGATATGGGTTTTTTGGGGGCCGATATCGATATATCGGCCGATATTCTTTGTGTATATTATAGTACGGTACCAGTCAAAAGTTTGGACACTTTCCCATTCGTGTGTCCAAACATTTGATTGTCTGACATCAGTGCACTGAACAGTACATTTTAAGTTTATTCAACTTTAATTCAATTCCATTCAACTTTATTCTGTTGAAGTTTATTTCACTTTGGGACATTTATTCACGGATTTGCGCTTCTGTCTTCACACACCGACGAAACTTACTAGAGAAGTGTGAAGTGTGACATAATATACCTCTGTAAATAAATATAAATTTGCGTCTCGTGCATTTTAATACCCTTTGAATGTAACGTGTACATTCCCTTGGTGCTGGAATCATTGTGGAATATCATGTGAAGTCCACTTCGCAGGGCACTTACGGTCGAATAAGCCAACGCTTGAATGCTGCTGCCTGAACAACAGACCTCCTTACTGAAGTGAAAGTGTCGGCTGGTGTCACTATCTCGCGAACGTGCCGGCGGATCGCCACCAAATTCGGGGGATCCCTTCAGCTCGATGAGCCCTCTCGAACGCCACCCTCCGTGTGTCGGTAGCCCCCCGGGATCGCTAGATCAGTTGGCGCCGGACCGCAAATTTAACCACCCGTAACTCCCGAACCTATCGACGCAGGGGTGGTCTCATTCGAAAGAGGGCCTCGAGACGTACACTCGATTCGCGTTCGAGAGGGTTCCTCGAGCTGAAGGGATCCCCCGAATTTGGTGCGGATTCGCTGCGTCTTTACGGAGATATGGCCGTTCAAAATTTCAATGGTTTTCCATAGACTTAAGCTTTAAAGCGTTTCATCCAGGTCACCAGTAGCAAACAATGGAGCACGCTCTGCTGGACAAACTAAGTAATTACACCATTTCAAGCATTTTGTCTGTGTTATATGTTCTGTAAAAAAAAAAAGTGATATCAGTGGCATATTCGCCGATACCGATATATCGGCGACAAGCTCATATCGGCCGGTAATATCGGCTAAACGATATATCGGTCGGGCTCTATAAATTACACACCAACACACAGTATTGTTGTGTTTATTAAGCATGCACGGCAGTTTTGTCGTCTGCTGCTTTAAATGCTTGAGCTCTTCAAAGCAGGATGGACTCTGATTGGCTGTCAATGTTTTTATCATTCATTAGCTGGAAAAAAAATCTCTCTGAAAGTGTTAGAGCGGTTATTGAAACTTTTTATAGTTGTAGTAATCACCCTTGTAAATGGGCGTTTCGTCCAGTGTCTGATGTCATGCTGTGTGTTTGTATCTCAGACCTTACAGGCCAAGAAGGTGATTCCTTGCCCCAGCTTCTACAGTCAGGATCACCCTGTCAAAGGTACGACGGCTCTTACAGTGACCGTGTTCCTGTATAGATGTGATGTCAGCACTAATCAACCTGAGCGTCACCACAACTTTAACCCAAGACCTTGGCTTGTGAATTGGTATTGATCATAATGAGACTGCAGTTTCAATATGATCGATCAAAATGATCTAATTGCAGTTTAAAATGCATTTTAAGCTCCAAGTCTGTGCTTGTTTGTAGGGCTGCATAATTTGGTCCAATATTTTGTAATTGTATGAGACTATAAAATAATACAAATAATTATATTAATAACAGAGTTTCTGCAGGTGTTAAAAAGATCTTAAAAAGTCTTAATTCGCCCTTCCTGTAATTAAGGCCTAAAAAGGTCTTAAATCAGAGCAGAAAGCCTTAAATTCATGAAGCTGTGGCATTAAATGTTGCACACACTGCAAAAAAAACAAAAAAAAAATAATAATATCTTCCTCAGTATTTTTGTTTGGCTTTCCAGTACAAATATCTAAACGACTTTAAATCAAGATACTTTTACTTGATATGCGAGATAAAAATATGAAGTCTTGTTTTATTGATCAAAATGAAATGAGTTTATGCCTAATACAAGAACAAATTAAAATCTGTTTTTCCTTTTAATTAAGTTGATTTTTCATATATATGATTAATCACCAACTCATTCTGTTTTAATCATAATGTTATTTTGCTTCTCCAGTAAATGCTCTGGAAAACAAGAAAAAATACTGAGGAAGAAACACTTTTTTTGCAGTGTGATCAGATATGTAATAAAACATATTTCTATATTTTAGTTAATAGTTTTTTGTTTGATTGATTGTTTGTTTTTTGTAAAATGAATTAAAAAAAGTAATGGAGATCTGTAAGTTTCAGCATATTGAGACATTATCAAATTTTACAGTCTTCATAAAACCTGCAGAAACCCTGAATAATAATAATTATTAATTTATGATCATGATGATTATTACACAAATCTATTACTCAATTATAGTTACGCAAAGCATTTGCTTGCAATTTTACAAAAAAACATCCACTGTTTGTTTGAAAAGTAATGAGTGAAAGAAATATAAACTTGTCCGTTAAGTCCATGTTAATCCGCAGTCATTTTTATACCAGCTGCACATCACTTCCACTCTCATAAGTAATCTCTTGACTGTTTGAGTCTGTGCTGATTTGTGTATATGATCCACAGTGCTGGACGTGTTGTGGTTGAGCACGTTTAACTTTGCGGTGGCATACGCAGCGGCTGATGGGTCTCTGGAGACGCCGCCGGAGCTGGTGGTCGTCTCGCTGCCCGTGAGTTACTCTTACAAATCACACACTACAAAACCTTTCAGACAGGACTGTGATGACAATGTGTCAACTGTGTGTGTGTGTCAGAAAAAGGTTGAGAAGAGAGACGAGCGCTATCTGAACTTCAATGACCTGGTGTACGGCACCTGCACCGAGAGGCAGCATCACTACTACCTGTGCCATATCGAGGACTGGTGAGACTCGTCTACATGTCCTGCGCTCTGCATTAGCTTTGTTAGTCCTCTAGCCAGTCCGGACAGTTGCCAAAAATCAAATGAAACCGATTTCTCCTGCGCAGGGATCTGGTTTTGGCTGCATCGGCCGCTGCTATTGAAGTCAGCATTATCGCTAAACAGGAGGACAAGGTAAACACTCGCCAGAGGATGGGTCAGCAGCATGAGTTATTATCATAAACTAAAACTAAAATCATTAAAAAAAAAAAAAACACTTGATACTTAACTTAAAGGGATAGTTCACCCAAAAATGAAAATTGTAATTATTGTTAACCTTCAAGTTTTTCCAGACCTTCCAAAGTGAATTTCTTTAAGCTGCTGAACACAAGATAAGATATATATAATGAAGTTAGGAGCCAATCAGTTGACTGTAGCCATTGACTTCTATAGAATGGGGGAAAAAAATACTATGGAGGACATGATACCGGCATTCTTCAAAATATCTTCTTTTGTGTTCAGCAGCTGAAAGAAACTCGTACAGGTTTGGAACAACATGAGGGTGAATTTATCCCTTGAAACCAAAAAATAAATAAATAAAAATAAAAAGTTAAACTTATTTTATTTCAGCTAGGTAACATGGCAGCGTTTTTAATTTTCATTTAGTTTAATTTAAACTGAAATAAATTAAAGGGTTAGTGCAGTAGAGACGAAAATGTGGAATTAAGTCGTTATTTTAGTTTTCTTTGCACAAAAAAAGTATTAAATAAAACGTATACAGTTGAACCACTGATGTCACACGGACTACTTTGTCAATCATCTTGGTACTTTTCTGGACCTTGAACGTGGTAGTTACCTTGCTGTCTATGGGAGGGTCAGAGAGCCCTCAGATTTCATCAAAAATATCTTAAATTGTGTTCCGAAGATGAATGAAGGTCTTACGGGTTTGGAACAACACGAGGGTGAGTAATTAATGACATAATTTTCATTTTTGGGTGAACTAACCCTTTAAGTATACAAAAGCATTTTAAAAACTCATAAAAATGACAAAATGCATAAAAAGTAATTGTATCCCATTGATACGCAAATAACACAGGTCAGAAGTGTTAGTCACAGAGGTCTGATGTGATGTTGTGTTGCAGGTGAACTGGGAGCTCTGGTTGCTGGAAGACGCCAGTCGAGCGGAGCTTCCTGTCACAGAGAACAGTGAGGACACACTTCCTGTGGGCATGGCCATCGATTACACCAGCCAGGAGGACATACACCTGTGTAAGAGCTCCTGTGATGGTAGACTGTGTTTTTGTGACTGAGCAGTGAGCACTCTTTGCACTTCACCACTTATCTGCTTACATAATTCCTTTATGTGTGAAGCGGGTGTGCATGGAAATTTTGATTTACCCAATAAGACACACTTAAACAAGAAATTACATTTTAGAGAGCTTTTACACATTTTAAATACCTTGCACTTTAAAATAAGCGTCTGTTTGAACTGATATGACGTTTCTTTTCCTAAGAAAGTGTTTTTTATTGCTGCTGCAGAGACATCCAGACACAAAGAAAGAACAAAGACTCTACTGCTAATGGAAATAGTTAGTTTTAAGAACAACTTTAAGTATACTTGTTCACTCTTTACAAGAACCAACTAACACTACATTGTTAAAATACAAGTATTTGTCTTAAGTTTCAGTTGCAAATGTTCAAACACTTAACTTTTAACATGTCAAATCCTGTAGCTTTTATTTGGCAGAATATATTGATGAAATGGTGTAAAATTCTGTGCACAAAAATGTCGGAAATGATGTGAATGTAAATGAACTGAACCTAGCAAAAATTGCACATTAAACTTAGTTTGTTTGTTGTAAAATCACTTCTTGTGTCCTCAGCTGATGAGAAGAGGTTGCCTCCGGCGCCGACGCTGATGCTGCTGTCTACAGATGGAGTTCTGTGTCCCTTCTCTTTACTGAACCTCAACCCAGGGGTCAAACAGCTGACCATGGCTGCCATCCCGCTGCCCGAGGACAGAGAGAGAGCGCCTGCTGCCAGTAAGACCACGGCTATGCGACTCGCTCTGTCAATGTTTAAAGCACCTGATATATCTCACAGCATACTTTGTTCTTTGCTTAGGAGTAAAAAAATCGGAAATACTTTGCCTTTGCAGCGGTATAATGTTAGCAAACATCTCGACACATTTAGATGAAAATGTAAAAATGTGCTGCACACTTTTGCTCTCAGTAACAAACACACAACAAAATGATAATGGTGAGAAAACCGCAGTTAAGAAAGCATCTAATCATAGCGATGTGGATATGTTTGCTCCAGCTGTGAATTCATTACTCCAGTCAGGTTTATATAGCACTTTATACAGTAGTTTTATTAAAGCGTGCAGTTTTATAGTATTAAACATTAAATAAAATGTCAATTTCGATTAAAATTAGAACACGTTCAATTAGTTTCTACTATAAAAGCAGCTCTTTAGAGTGTTCATGGTTTTACACGCGTCTGACCTTATAACGGACTGAACAGAAGAAATAGACCAGAGAAGATTTCAACGGCACCTATTTTTTTCTACCTATTGCATAATTGGGGACTTTTCTGTGCCAGTCAAACCTACAGCTGCTTTGATGAAGTCAAATTTAATTCAGTTGTAGCATTTTAAATCTATTATTGACTTTTTAAAGTGATTTAGAAGTGATTGAAGATGCAGGGTTTGCAGTCCGGTGACTTTGTGTTCTAACACACTTCGTTTCAGAGTCATCGTCCTTCTCTTCTGCTCCCGTCTCTGCAGCGTCCTCCATCTTCCCATCTTTCCCAGCATCTTTTGGCACAGCCCCGCCCCCAGCCACCTTATCCTTCACAGCCCCGCCCTCAGCAGCTACTGCTGCTGCCTCCTCGGTCCCGCCCACCTCAGTGTCCTCCACAAATTTCTCCTTCTCTCTTCCTGCTCTGAGCTCTGCCGGTCCCTCTGGCTTCTCGCTGGGCTCCGCCGCGGCTGGTTTCTCCTTCAGCGCTCCCAAACCCTCCTCATACGCTCCTGCCTTCTCCTTTACTTCCTCCTTCGCGCCGAAGGAGGTCAGCAGTGCTTCAACGGCCATTCCTCCTCAGCGTCCGCCTGCCATGTCTCCCATCATCAGCGGCCCCAAAGTGCCAGTGGAGCCTGCAACACCTGCTGTCAGGATGAACCTCACTGACAGGTGAGCGCGTGATCTCAGATATTATGTTATTTGGATAATCCTGAATGATCCGCAAATTAGAGTTTGGCGTGTTTTGTGGCAGGTTTCTGGTGGTGGACTCTCTGGCGTCAGTCGCATCTACTGCCCAGCCGTTTTCTTTGACCTCCACGCCCAAACCCGCAGCAGTGGAAGTCAGTGGCCCGACGACAGCAGCGCTCAAACCAGCCGCCCCTGCAGGTACACACCTACCTCACAGCTTCTCAGTCCAGACATTCCCTTAAAGGGGTATTTGTGAACATTCTATAGGTGGACTTGATGCATTTGTTCACATTACTCTTGTATTTAAGATAAATTCATAAATTGTCGTATATACACATTTAGGATCATTCTTCGCACGCTTTAGGCCCCTACAGTGATCAGAGATGCAGTATTAAGGTGTGAGATGTTGTTGTTGTTGTAGTGTTGTCTCGGGACACTCAAATCAGCGCTTCTCCAGCCGCTCCGCTGAAACCAGCCGCAGTCGCTCCTCCTGCGTCCAGCGCTCCGTCTACACAGGTACAGCACTGAAGAACTGATGAACCACCATCAGAGAGGTCCAGTCTCGTGTGTCTTGCACAGACTGATCTGAAGTGTGTTTCCATGTGTTTTGTGGCAGGTCGTGTCTGTGAAAGCACTGGAGAAACACCTGCAGCAGAAGAAAGAATCGGACCCCATCATGACTGGAATACTGGAGGAGGTAGAGCCCAAAAATTACGTATACATCTGAATAGCTGTTATACTGATGCTGATTGAGCGCCTGTTCTGTCCTTTGCTCAGATCGGACACTTTGAGAAGGAGCTGGACGATCTGAACACTCGCTGCAGAAATGCTGATTTCAGGGTGGGCAGCACAGACGACATGAAAGACCTGAGAAAAGACTCCGAGAACTTACATGCCTTCACACTGGAGATCAGAGACACCACAGAGGTACGACATGCACCTAGGGCTGATATGAGATTTTTAGAAAGTTCTTCTTATTGTCTTCTATTTTTGATAATCCAGTGAATTAAATGTCTCACAAAGGAAGGTTACTTCATAAAGAAAACATAATAAAATTAGATGATCACAACCAAACAATGAGATTATTCATCATGCAAAGACAGCCTTGCATCATGAAACATCTGAGTTACAAATAGCTCAGACTCCGAGCAGGTAAAGCAGTGTTTCCCATTCATTATCTAGGTTGTCGTGGCCCATCACGGCCACAGTTTCATAATGAGACGGAAGTATTTTTACGCTTCTCTTAATAACAAAAAAGGTCTCTAACGTTGTGATTTGCACCATTGCTTTGGCACAGCATGTCAAACTAGAAGCAAAATCACAATATGGCTTTATCAAATTGTGAAAGTGTGTTTTTGCTCTGGTATTGGCTGTTTTAAGCCTGTTGTATCAGCTGACTTCCAGAGCTTCTTCATATTCTGTGTGGTGGTTAGTTTACAGTAGTGACAGAAATTTATTGAACCAATAAGGGACAATATTTCCCCTCTTAAATTGATTTACAGGTGAATTTTTTACTTGCTAAACCACCAGTAGGTGGCAGCAAGTCACTGTCTTAATGAGGGAGTCATTGAATCATTTGATTGGGTCAAACAGCTGATTCATTCAGGAACATGGCAAGTGACTATATGAATGTCATTTAATAATTCACTCAACTGATTCGTTCAAAAACACATATTCAATAACAAATCACAGCCATGTGTTGCTCTGTGAATTCTGGCTTTGTTTGGAACTATTTTCCTTGGTGAATTTGAGCAAAAAAACATGTGACCCGTGCTGGCAAAATGAGTCAGAATGTGCACAGGCTACTTTTGAGCTACAGGCAAAAAAAAGTGAAAAATGTCGATTTTAAGGTTTTCACAAAAATTAGTTCATTAAGCCCTCGTCTAGCAATCCCAATGCTCCAAATAATAATTTTAGATGTTTAATTACCTTTATTTGTACGTTTTCTGATAGGAGTACCTTTTCTCCGCTCGCTTTTCACGCTGACTGTCATCCGAAGCGCTAAAGCATAAAGGCGCTTCCAACAGCGCGCGATCGCGATAAATATACACAGAATTACAGTATTTAAGTATTCACGCAAACATAATCTGTTATGTCTTAAGTGAATGTTTGGGGAACTGTTGGGGAAACACATCTGATGTGTAACATTATATTAGATCCGTGCATTACAGTAGATCTTAATATATTGGCCGTCTGTCTCATTAATGTTAATCTAACAATAGCCTAAAAGAAAAGAGGGGATCACTTGCTGCTCTTGATTGAACTGCTTTTGTAGTTTTAATAATAAATTAATTTGTAATGAACACACTAAAGGGATTTTTACATTTGATTATTTGTTTTTCTTACTTGAATGCTTTTGTTTAGATGTAAAATGAAAAAGGTAATGCATTAATTGTTTCTTATATTTGTTCTACTGTTTTTTTTTGTTGTTTTTTTTTGCATCTGTTCTTATTTATAATAATAAAGATAAAATAAAAAATAGCTATATTGTGATTATTAATGTAGTAATTATTATTAAGAAAAGAACTGGAGGAAAAGATGCAACGTTGCTCTGTGATTTTTGCTTTGGATCCTTTTCAGAAAACTTAACTCGATTTTTCTCCAAATTGACTTTGCTGACTCTATCGACATCAAACGGGTGTAGCTCAGTCATTTTTCATCCGATTCCAATAAATCATACATCATTCTGAAGGTCTTTTAATGGAGAATGTGAAAATAAAAATAACTCATTTTTGAAAATTTGCTCAGTGTGACTCATTTTGCCAGCACAGGTCACATATTGTGTCTAAAATCTATCTCACAACATTAACTAAATGTTTATTGAACTCTTGTATGAAATCAGTCACACTTGCAATCGTGCTGATATTCAGGAAAAGGCACTCTTGCTTGTGTGGTATTGCTAAACTATGTCATATGATATAAATATAAGACAAACCCATATAGAGGCATTTTTGCCTCCATAGCTATAACTATACTAAATATATTCTAGGCAACATCACAAAGTGAAAGTGTGGTCTCAAGACATGATTTTGTTTTCTTTTTGTAATGTATTAACATACTCAAATGTCAGCTCCAATGTTACCAAATGAATAAACTAATGCACATTTTTAAATAAATGGTTATAAATGGTCATGGTCAATGGTTATTTGAACATTTTAGCACTTGATATAAAACACTTTTGAACCCAAAATGATGCCTTTGACCAATGATGATCAAGAGTTTCATAGAGCCTTGTTATAATACAGAATATCATACCAGTCTGTTTCGGTTGATCATGAACTGTAGATGTGACCGTAGTTTTGAGTTGTTATGAATGCATGTCTGACCGTGTCGAACTGTTGAACGAAGTCTCTTCACGGGGACATCAGCATGCTGAAGACCAGCCTGCTGGAGGGTTTTGCTGGAGCGGAGGAGGCGCGAGCTCAGAGTGAACTAAACCGAGACAAAGACTACCTCCAGCTGCTCTACAAGAAACCACTAGACCCTCGACGAGAGGAGCAGCTCAAGGTCTCGTCCACCTCTGATAGCTTGATCATCATATGAAGTGATAACGTGTGCTGAAAGTGTGGTTTTGCCACAGGAAATTCGCCACTTGTACCAGTACGTGAAGTTCGCCATAGAGGACGTGAATGCCGTTTTGGACATGGAGTGGGAGAAACACTTGGAAAAGAAGAAGAAGAAACAGAGGTGAGCATCTGTGACATTGTGCTTTATTTATTGTCTGTTCGTCTGTACGACTGAGCGTCAGTGTTTGCTCCCCCAGGCATATGATCGCCCCAGAAAGAGAGGCTCTGTTTACAGCGCTGGCCAATAACCTGGACATCATCAACCAGCAGAAGCAGCGCCTGGACCGGCTGGAGAGTGACCTGCACAAGCTGAGGCTCTGCAGAGGGACATCAGTGTGGAGCTTCATCAGCCAGACGCCCTCCACACCCTCAGGACAGAGGTTAGAGCACATGTCTGCCGCACAGGGCGTCATGATCCACCAGTAGTGGATTTAGCTATTAATGATAACTAAAATCGAAAAATATGGCCAGTAACCAGTTAATAACATAATGATAATAACCCAGGGCCGTAACCACTATAGATATTAAAGGGGGTAAGTCTAGTGGTCGACCGATATTGTTTTTTTTTTTTGACAGCCGATGCCGATATCTAGGAAAGCAGGGTGGCCGATATAAAGCCAATATAATTTTATGTATTTTAATTAATATTTAAGACATTTGAAATCATTTGAAAATGGACAATAAACATACTTTAGATGACAAAGTATTTTTCACAAATAAATATTTAATAAAAATATAATTAAAAAGGAAGTAAACACTGTAACCAACAGGGCACTTATTATTCTGGGAAGTTTGTGTGCATTGGAAATTATATTTTTTTAAATAAAGCCAAGATAACACTAATTTTACATACAGCACACAGTGGAAATGACATGAATATGGCAGTGGGCAAATGCATAAAGCGCAGCATAATTTAAAATCATGAGTTTAAAGTTTGTCGATCGCGCGTCTCCAGTCAAGCTGAACTCTCCTCCTGTCCGCATTCAATTCACACGGATCGACCGTCACGCAGAGAACACGCGATCATGCAGAATACAAATGCACACTTCACAAGATCTCACAACTGGATCCGACTAAGTTTGCAAGGTTTATGAAATTAAATGTTAATTAGACATTCAAAGATTTGTTTAAATTATATAAATGCGTATTTGCTGAATGCTGACAGCAAAAGATAAAGTATTATAATATTTGCCATTCTATTACTAATAATATAAAAGCAATTGTTATAATACTTTTTGTATACATTTTAATTCCTTTGTTTAACTGTTCTATCTGATTATTAGATAGACTTCTATCCGTATTAGACGGAACTGTTAACGACGACAGCGAACAAGAGGGAGAATGTGAGCACTCTGTGCTCAGGCGCTGCCGTTCTCAGCGCCGTCAAAATAAAAGTCCCGCCTCGAACGCATCGGCCAAACAGGAAAACGTATCGGCCAATGCCGATATTTGAAAAATGCCAAATATCGGCCGATATATCGGTCGACCACTAGGTAAGTCCTCCCAAATAATTAGAAATGGCCAAATTTTCCAACCCAAAATTTGAAATTATTAAGTTACATTTGTTGTTATAATGACAAAATGCTTTAAAAGTTACATTTTTGGGCTGGTTTGCCTCAGCGGTCTAACAGCGCTCGTCACGGCCTTGTAATAACATAATGATATTAATTTTATCAGGACTGTTGATTTGATGCACTTTTATTGTGCATTTAAATTTTTTAGCTAAAATTGTTGCGCAATTAATTTGCAATTAATTAGATGGCACATTATTTAATTATGTTAAAATTTTTAATTGCTTGGCAGGCCTAATTTGAATGCATTTTCACAGAATAGGCCTTAACACACGGTGGATATAGTATCAGGGTTTAAAGTTTTCCGGCACCGTGCCAGATCTCCGGCGTGCGTCGTTTGGCTGCAGAAAAAAAAGATAGTCCTGCATTTAAAGTAACTTTTTGATATCATGTTCGAGTTCATGAGTTCGCCTACCAATGGGATGAGAGGAATACAGCTTTCACTCTCAACCAAACTAACATTACTAGTCAATTAGAAGTAGAATGGGCAGGTCTTGGAAAAAGTGTGGTTGAGATCCAGCTGCAACCAAGTCCTACTAAGCATGGATGCCGGAGCAGAGCCGTCATGTTGGAGAGTAGCAAGCAAACATAGTTGGCAGGATGGAGAGTAAGTTTATGAAGCATGGGGAAGACATCCTAATTGATAAAGGACTTAAAAATAAATTCCGCTGGGCTTGGATAGAAGAAATAGGCAGAGACGGCAAGACTTTTGGTAGCTGGTGTAAGAAATTAAGAGAACCAGGTGCTTCTGCACGTTGTGCTCGAGAAAGCTAATGTATGCAACTAGCGGTAAAAAAAGTGCTACCACGTCACGAATTTGACCCGTCACGAAAGTTTATCATATGCATGTGTTTTTAAGTTTTGCCAATTTAAGCATTCAAAAGGTTTTAAACCGTTCAAGCGCAAGACATTGCGAAAGAGAACTAAATTCAGTACTTGAGCACTGTTTTATTGTCTATTACTGTCTATTATGGAGTTCGTAATAGATACTGTTTTAGTCGTAAAATAGTGGTAATTCAGACTGTACAATCATAGTTTTGATTAGAATACTTCACATCCAGTCGGGCAGTCGCATACAGTCTAGCAGCAGAAATTCAAATATTTCAATGCATCCGAAGCTCAAATTGGATCTGAAACTTTGGCATACGCTCAGAACTTCTCATAGTTCCTGTACTACTCTGCATTGGAAATGAATGACTCTTGGTCTCTCGTTTATCGGAGATAGAGTGGAAAGGTGGCTTTACAACCCCTACAATGTAACTGTCAGTGCTGATTAATTGGTAAAAACCATATATCGTCAATTTCTACTGAATGGCTGAAATACGTCTGGAGCCCATGCTGAAAAAGAGTGTCGCAGTGGAGCGTTGTGTGTTTTTGATAGTTTCATACTGTCTCAGGATGAAACTCTCAGAAGATTCACATGTTCTGTGTGTTTTACAGTCTGGACAGTGAACTGGAGAGTTTGAAGGATTCTCTTCTGAAGGCCAGTCTGGAAACGGCACCCAAAGTTCCTGCCAAATCACCATGTAAGAGCTTGTGTTCCTCTGGTCATTCATGAGCTGTTCACCACAGTTCAGTCCATCATCTCATGTTCAGCAGCACAGTCTGAATTATTCATGCCATTAGACTCAACATGCTTCTGCTCACAGATGAGCTACAGTGAGTTGTTGATCTGAACGCATCTGTCATTGACCTCATTGATGTCACTGTGTGTGTGTGTGTGTGTACAGCTAAAATGACCCCAGCCAAACAGTCTCAGCTGAGGAACTTCCTGTCAAAGCGGCAGACTCCACCGGTGCGCTCCACAGCTCCAGGTACGTCACCTGCGTGTGCTTGTGATTGTGTGCATGTCTAGAGGTGTGCCATATTGATAACAAAAGATGTGATTTTTTTTTTTTAAATGAAATTATGCCTTAATGTCTTAATGAGTGAGTCATTGAATCATTAATTTAACTGATTTATTCAAAAGGCTGATTCATTCCAGAACGAAGCAAGTGAATCATTGATTTGTTCAAAAATGCTGATAAAAATGCTGAACAGTGGTTTTCCTGTGGCTTTGTTTGGAACTATTTTCAAAAACAGACAATATTGTGTCTAAAATGTAGCTCAAAATATTAACTGTTGTATAAAATCAATCACATTTGCAGTTGTGCTAATAATCTGAAAAAAAAAACAGCAGGATTGCTTTTGTGATATTGCTTAACTATATCATAAATATAAAACAAAAACTCTATCATAAATATAAGTATAAGACAAAACATTTTTGCCTCCATATAGTCAAGTCACCTTTATTTATATAGTGCTTTATACAATACTGATAGTGTCAAAGCAGCTTTACAGTATTAAACAGGAAAATAGTGTGTCGATAATGCAAGAGGGCAATAATAAACACTCAATTTTTCAGTTAAATTCAGTTCTTCATTGATTCAGTGACTCAATCATCCAGCTCAGTTCAGTTCAAATAGTATCTGTGCAATCATGTCGCCAATATTGCCAGAGATTAGAGCAGCCATCAAGTGTTAGACGGTGTTCTAGGTTATTACATGCTGAGTTTTTTGGTCCAGTAATTAACATCTCTGTTTTTGTTTTTTCAGAATTTAGCTGTAGGAAATTATTAGTCATCCAGTTTTTTTATATCAACCATGCATTCTATTAGTTTTGCAAATTGATATGCTTCATCGGCCGCGAAGAAATATAGAGCTGAGTATCATCAGTGTAACAGTGAAAGCTAACAACATGTTTCCTGATGATATCTCCTAAGGGTAACATGTAAAGTGTGACAAGCAAAAGTTCCTAGTATTGAGCCTTGTGGTACTCCATACTGCACTTGTGACTGATATGATACCTCATCATTCACTGCTACGAATTGATGACAGTCAAATAAGTATAATTTGAACCATGCCAATGCACTTCCACTTATGCCCACATAATTTTCTAGTCTATTCAAAACAACGCTAAGATCCAGTAGCACTAATAGATGGATACAACCACGATCAGATGATAAAAGAGCAGATCATTTGTAACTCTGATGAGTAACTCAGTACTATGATATGGTCTAAATCCTGACTGGAAATCCTCACAGATACCATTTTTCAAGGAATGTAGTTGTGAGTATACTGCCTTTTCTAGTATCTTTGACTGAGATCGGTCTGTAATTAACTAATTCTCTCGGATCAAGTTGTGTTTTTTTTTTTAATGAGAGGCTTAATAACAGCCTGTTTGAAAGTTTTACTGAATTTTAGGTCATTCTAACTGCGTTCTACTAGTCTTTCTACTAGGGCTGGGTTTTGACACAAATTTCACGATTCGATTCGATTCAATATCGATTATTTTGAATATCAGGTACAGTGCATGCCAAATTTTCTCAAGGAAAAAAATCTCTCAACTAATGCTGTAAAATATACATGAGAGTCAGTTGGTACTACATACTATAATATTGAAGGTTAAAATGAACTGATTTGTTAAAATTACACTTAAAGGGATAGTTCACCCAAAAAATGAAAATTTGATGTTTATCTGCTTACCCCCAGGGCATCCAAGATGTAGGTGACTTTGTTTCTTCAGTAGAACACAAACGAAGATTTTTAACTCAAACCGTTGCAATCTGTCAGTCATATAATGGAAGTGGATGGGAATCACGGCTTTGAGAGTCAAAAAAACATACACAAACAAAACCAAATTAAACCCTGCGGCTCGTGACGATACATCGATGTGTAAAGCTTCCAAGTGGACCATTGACACTCTTATCTACAATCTCAATTAGGAGTGTCAATGGTCCATTTGAGAGATAGGTGGCGGTAATGCACTTATAAGTCTGCGATCTGCCGTAAAGCAAGAGGAAGAAGACGTGTCACGTGCCGGCTAAAGAAAAAGATGCGAATGCGCTCAGGACAGTTCAGACATTGCGGTGAATGAGAGGTAAAAAACTATATAAATACTTTTCAGTTTCTTGCACAGGCCGATCGTTTCGTGCCTTATACATCAATGTATCGTCACGAGCCGCAGGGTTTAATTTGGTTTTGTTTGTGTATGTTTTTTTGACTCTCAAAGCCGTGATTCCCATTCACTTCCATTATATGACTGACAG